TGAATCCAGCTTTACCCTCTGGAAGTTCTCTGTCAATGTATGCTTACAGCCGTTTCTGTATTACCTTTTGTAAAACTACTCACATGAGGTGTCAAAGATACTGTCTGATGATTTCTGAATTCCATTGGGTCACCTCTCTTTGGGATGGGCAGAACTACAGATTTCTTCCAATAAGTTGGCCAAATAGTTGTCTTCCAAATTTCTTGGCATAGATGAGTGTGTGCCTCCAGTGCCACCTCACTTTGTTGAAAGATTTCAATTTGTATTCCATCAGTTCCCAGTGCCTTGTTCTTTGCCAATTCCTTCAGTGCACCCTGGACTTCTTCCTTCAGGATCACTGGCTTTTGATCATATGCTACCTCTTGAAATGGTTGAACATCAACCATTTCCTTTTGATACAGTGACTCTGTATTCCTTCCATCTTCAAAATCAAACGACGTATTTCATTAGGCAAATCTGCTGCACAAGACCTTTTTAAAGTGTTGAAGAGCAAAGATGTCAGCTTGAGGACTAAGGTGCGCCTGACCCACGCCATGGTATTTTCAATAACCTCATATGCGTGTGAAAGCTGGACAGTGAATAAGGACCACAATAGAAAAATTGATGCATTTGAGTTATAGTGTTGGAGAATTTTGAAAGTATCATGGGCTTTCAAAAGAACCAACAGCTCTGTTGGAAGAAGTGCAGCCAGAGTGCTCCTAGGAGGCCAGGATGGCCAAACTTCATCTCTCATACTTCGGACATATTGTCAGGAGAGACCAGTCTCTGGAGAAGATCATGTTTGGTAAGGTAGAGGGTGAGAGAAAAAGAGGAAGGCCCCCAGCAAGATGGATTGGCCAAGTGGCAGCATCAATGGACTCAAGCGTAGCAACAATTGTGAGGTTGGCCCAGGACCGGAGAGTTTCGTTCTGTTGTGCACAACTGTTTATCTTCATCGTTCATTTCTAAAACAATATTTAGTGGCTGGATAGTGGCTTCTTGAAGGAATCTCATTTAGGTCACCAGTCCGCAACTCATGGTCATTGAGGTTGTTTCTGGTTTTTTACCATTATAATACAATGATTATACTTTGCACATCAATCTTTATGGACAGATCTCATTATTTCCTAGGTGTTTCATTTTTCTTAATGGCATTCTTACCCAAAGAACCTTTCACTTTTCTTTCCAGAACAGTTTTTCCGCTCTACATTCCAGCTGGGATTATGACTGCCACCCCCGACATTCACACTTGTTATTTAAACATACCCTCTGGTAAGGTGATGACTGGAGATAACATCCCACCCTAATCCTGCCTTATCAACATAACAGTAACTCACTTCCAAATGAGACCAGAACCACAGGCATGTTGTTGTTGTCAAGTGCTGTCCAGTCATTTCGGACTCTTAGCAACCCTGTATAGGGCTTCTGAGAAGCAGCTGATGGGTTTGAACCACTGACCTTACGGTTAATAGTCTAGTATTTATCCTGCAGTGCCAGAGCCTAGAATTATAACAGATAACAAAATGGAAGAGAATTGCATCAGATCATAAATTGAAGAACAACCACAGAATGCTTGCCATTAGGCCCTAGCCAAGCTAAAATATCACCCTAACCTTCACAGGTTCCTACACCTTATTTGGATGGTCCCACCCAATCATTGTATGGAAGTCACAAAGACTAAGACTAGAAAGGCAGTATTAAGTACTTCACCACACCTCAGTGTGTTATTTTATTGTTATGACACACACTTCCTCAGTTGACCTGTTTGTCATAAATAAATGTCCATCAGTAAGGCATGAAAGTCCTGGTGTAGTACTGTAGGATAAACACTAGACCTCAAGATCATAAGATGGGCCATTCAAACTCACCAACTACTCATCGGAAACCCTACACAGGGTTGCTATGAGTCGGAACCGACTCAATGACACTTAATAACAACAACTCAATAAGGGACTGTTTAAAAAGTATGTTATGGAATAGTAGGCAACTATGAAGACAAATATAAAAGTTTAAAATATAAAGTATGAACATTGTCATATGGTAGCTAAACAATGCAAAGTACAAAAGTGTGGGAGAAGTGTGTGCTGTGTGTTTCATCTGCCTTTCAGAGCGACTCTTCCTCCTCCACTAGACTGCTCTGGGACCAAGAGGCCAGCCTGCCTTACCAGGTCCCCAGCCCTGGGATTCCAGGTAGAGGCAGCCTTGGAGCCCTGGCAGGAGGGGGCAGAGTGACTACGCCCCTTCACTGTGGACTGAACCTAGAGGAGCCCTTCACTCAGCTGTCCCCACCACCTGCTTCCACTGACTCCTACCTCCCTCGGCTCCAGTTTCACTGCCCTAGACTTCGTCTCTATACCTCATCTCCTATACCTTGGCCTCATTCAACTCTTAGATTGTCCAAATCTGAGAAGGATATCATTCCTGATGGAACACTGATAAAATAGGCTATCTTTATTGGTAAAAAGGGAAGAAATAGGTACGCATATTTGTAATCTGGATGATACAGAATAAACAATAAAAATACTTACCTGTTGAGCAAATTTGTGTGGGAAGCAGAGCAGTGGGAAGTGAGCCTGGGGAGGGAGACTTTTCATAGTACATGTTTCTATAGTGTTCCTTTGAAGCGTGTAAATCTATTACCTACTCCAAAGAAGGAGCCTTGGTGTGGCACTGTAGGGTATATACCACACTGCAAATCACAAGGTCAGTAGGTCAACCACACCCACCACTCCTTGGAAACCCTGTAAAGTCTCCCTGAGTCGAAACTGATCCTGTGGCACTTAACAGCAACAACACTCCAAAAAAAACTAAACTATCTTTAAGCATTTCAACTTTATTTCAGGATTGACTGTGACAGTTTGGATTGTTTCAAGATGAGCTTTCTGTTGCCCAAGCTGACCAGCAAAAAAGAAGTAGACCAGGCAATAAAAGGAACTGCAGAGAAGGTGTTGGTTCTCAGGTTTGGGAGAGATGAGGATCCCGTCTGTCTGCAACTAGATGATATTGTGAGTGAGTTTTCAAATACATTATCTTTATTAAAAGTTCCTAAATTGTCACTTCATCCCCTGCAGAATATATGAAGGAGAGTGGGCAGGGCCTGAGGGTACAGCTGTCGGTTCTCACTAAGAACTGATGGTGTTCCTGCCACTGAGGTGAATCCCCAGATCTGTGGTGTGCTGAAATCTGATCTGAATGTCCTTCCCCACTAGCTGCTGAGGAAACTCAGATCCACCAACAAAGCTGTGCAACAGCAGGAAACATTAGTAACAAGTATCTACAAGCATGATCTAATTCAGCCTCACTCAGTGAAGTGATACTCCATTTCCCAGATGGGGTGGATAGTGTCAGCAGATAGGTCAGGTCACTTCCCAAACCACAGAGCCACTCGATTACTGAACTGGGATTTGAACTGGCTGCAGATACTCTCTTTAATCTAGATTACTGCCTCAAGTATGTGCCTTATTCTAATCTCTCATCTGCCAGCACATCCTCACACTCAGATGAGTCAAAAATGGGAGTTGGGGGCACATGGAACAGGCTAGGTTGATTCTTGCCTCCAGTGATTATGGAGATAGCCTTCACCCAAGACTAAGACCTCTTCCCTCCATTTCTGTTGCCACTGGTAACAATGTGCATCAGCAGTGTATAGGAATCCTCAGTGTGATGATTTAAAACGCGTGTGTGGTGGAGTGGGGGAAGGAAGGACCAGAGTAGAGTATACCACTCTGCTGGCGGGAGGCAGGACTATCACAGATGTCAAGAGCACACTCTGAAGTCAAGCTGTCTGAGCTCAAATCCTAGCCTTACTGTTTACGAGCTATGTGTCACTGAACAGAGTGCTTTACCCCACTTTCCTCCGTTTCCTCATCTGGGGAATGGAGACTACAGTAGAGCATCTCCTGTAGGAGTGTTGCCAGGATTGAATGAGTTAATACAGGAAAAAGACTTTGAACAGTTAATACATGGTAAGTGCCAGATACAGAAAGTATTTGCTATCATTATTAATTTTAGGGACTTTTCGTATCTGCTTGACATATTAGTTGTTTGTTTGAAGTAAAAATTTTTTCACACAGTATTACCCGGGACTCCTAGTCAGCAGTGATTGGGAGTCTGATGAGAAGGTTACACCATGTCTCATGGACCCTAGTGGGAAACCAAAAAGGACTACAGTCTTGGCCCAGGAATTATTTTCAAATGAAATATTCCGTCCTTTGTCATTTCTGTAAATGTAATGTAAGTACTGACTCATAGCAACCCTATATGGGTTTCAGAGGAGCAGCAGGTAAGTTTGAACCACCAACCTTGTGGTAAGCAGTCCAGTGCTTATCCTACAGTGCCACACCACTTCTATCCTAGTGCCCTCTCTTATTGTAACCACATCTTTCTCTACATTCACAGCTTTCCAAGACCTCATCTGACTTGAGTAAAATGGCTACTATATACCTGGTAGATGTGGACCACACTCCAGTGTACACTCAGTATTTTGACATCAGTTATATTCCATCTACTGTATTTTTCTTCAATGGCCAGCACATGAAAGTGGATTATGGGTAAGTGAGATTAACATGAGGTTATTGCAATCTTAAGCGATTCCTTGAAAACAGTTTTAGCAGCTGGCCTGTTTGTCTGTGGTGTTGATGCTGTGAGTCTTGAGTTAGTCATGTTTCCCCAACCAATACACTCTCATTTTCCATGTAAAAACTGTCATGTCAAATGAGTGTTTCAGATGCTACTGCTAAATTGTAATTTCCTACTTAAGTATGAAGGAATAGTACAGTTTGAAAAGTAGTAACTATGCTTCAGCTAGAAAACATAGAATCATTTTTTGGGTTTTTCCCCTAGCAATTTCATTTAAAGCAAAATAGGAAATACATGATTATCCTTAAGTTTTTAAACTGATTGGTTACATTTGAAAAGTATTCCAACAAACTAAGACATGCTTCTTTCTTGACAAGTTTCCTATGTAATGCCACTTTGAAAAACATAGAAGCCAAACTTCTTCAACTAAACCTCTATTTCCTCATTTGTGAAATCCAGTCAGCTTCCCAATATCTGGTGTGGCTTGTGCCCCTAAGTCTTACTCTTTCTTGCTTTTATTGGCTTGTCCTCTTTTTAGATCTGTGTATCTGCTTTGCCTTTGTCTGCTTGAAAATACAAGCCATTTATTCGCCTGGAACAGTTACGGCAATTAGTCATTTGGTACAAACTTTCTAGAGGAGAGTTCATAACACTACAGATCAAATGTCTTAAAAGTGTTTATACATTAGTACCCTAGTATTGCATTTTTAAGAATTTCTCTAAAGAAAAATCATCATGAACATGGACAAAATTGGCTATGTGGCTGTTCATTTGCTTTCTAAATGAATACTTAGAAAGAATCTAGATGTTCACAAAGAGCTTTTGCTTAGCAGTTTCATGTGATGCTGTAGATAGATAATTCACAACTTTGAAAAAATTATGGTAGTTAAAAAAACACATAAAAATAGTTTGTAAAGTATGATTCTCATTATTGTGAAACTCACATAAGAGGGGGCTTCAGAAAGTTGATGGAGAATACCATTATCTTTTTTCCATTTTTTCACAAGATTTTTGAAGCCTACTTGTGTGTGTATGTGTGCGTGTTTCACAGTAATAAGAATCATTCATATGTTTTATATACATATATATAGAATCCTGGTGTGGTGTTATAGGATAAGCACTGAACTGCTAACCAAAAGGTCAGTGGTTCAAACCACCAACTGCTCCTCAGAAACTATACAGGGTCATTATAAGTCAGAACCAATTTGTCAGCACTTAACAACTGTATACGTACATACATACATACATCTATATAAGAGTTCTCATGTGGCACTGTTAAGATAAACCCTGGACTGCTAACCACAAGGTTGGTGGTTCAAACCCACCAACCACTCCTCAGAAACCCTATACAGGGCTTCTGTGAGTAGGAAGCAACTCAGTGGCACTTAACCACAAGAACAATATATATACACGTCCATGTGTACTTTGAGAAGATTGGAAAGATACACGCCAAACTATGACCTCTGGCCTCACTAGTGCTATGCTTTTCTTGTATAAATTGTGTCTATAAACAGACCTGATGTTTGTAATACTAAAAAAAAAAAAGCAAGTACTTAATTCCCTCCAAGGATCGGAACTAGTTAACAGGCGCTTTGCACAGTGCCTAACCAGAACAGTAACAACACAAGCAAATCATGGTCGTGCCAACACTAGGAAACTGCCGATCCCAGTGGTGGTGTGAGTCAGCTTGGAAGCAGCAGCTTCTCCCAGGCAGAGCCTCCAGCCTGCCCCAGTGACCCACAAGCACAGATTCCCATTGTCTACCCAACAGCCCCTTAGTCCCAGTGGAAAAGTCAGTGCTGCTCTTAATGTCTTCTTCCCTGACAAACAGAAAAGAAACAGGCTCGTATCGTTTTGTGTGTCCTGAAATAATCGTTGAAAGCTCTGAGAAGTTGTTTCTCTGTTATGCTGTCCAGGTCCCCGGATCACACTAAGTTTGTGGGAAGTTTCAAAACCAAACAAGACTTCATAGATTTGATTGAAGTTATTTATCGAGGCGCAATGAGGGGAAAACTTATTGTCCAAAGCCCTATTGATCCTAAAAATATTCCCAAATACGACCTCCTCTATCAAGACATTTAGCTCACGAGCTACCGTCAACATGGAAGCAAATGGAACATCTCAACACAGCACCCAAATCCAGCTGTGTTCCTGCTGGTGCCCTTTGGAAACATGTTCATCATCCCAGTGGAGAAGAGGGTTGACTTGGGTGAAAAATACCTGGTCCCTAGTAGACGAACACACTGGTCTTGGATGATCTGAGTTCCTCCATTTCTACTACCTGCAAATCTCAGAACAGTCAAGTCACACTTCAGTTTCTCCAGAGCGGTGAGGTGAACTTTTGTGTGTGTTGTGTTTCTCTTTCTTCTTTAAGATAAAACACGGTCCCCCTAAACGTTGGCTGGAACAATTTGATTTAACCATGAGATAGACAATTAAAATGGAAATCAGTTACCGTTGTTTACCTAGATACACACACTCATCCACACCTCTCGCTCATTACTTAGCTATTCCTCACGTTTTTCTTACATGATCCTCCTAGCTCTTGTCCTGATTTCATGGGTATCTCAGAATGCTCCTAGGAAACCCTGTACAGGGTCACTGAGTCTTAATCAACTCAATGGCATTAAACAGCGACAACATACTGGTAACAGTCATGTTTGTTTAATTGTGGACCTCTGTTTCATGTTGAAATTCATACCTTTAAAAGTCTATTACTGTACTCACTTTACTAGCTTTTAAGTTTTTAAATTGTCCAGAAAGTGAGAACTTGGTCCTCAATGATCCAGCACCCACTTTGAGCTAAGCAGTGAATTAACTACCCAGGGTTCTGGTGTAATAATGTAGGATAAGTATGAGACTGCTATTCACAAGGTCAGTGGTTCAAACCCACCAGCCACTCCTCAGAAACCCTAGATAGGATCGCAGTGATACTGGTTCGGGCTGTTGTTGTCGTTAAGTGCTAGCGAGTCAGTTCCAACTCATAGTGACCCTGTGTAGGGTTTCAGAGGAACAGCTGATCCTACAGCGCCACACCAGGAGAAGATTAAAAAGCCATGAAATAGTATACTGACGAGGTTTATTAGAATGTGGAAAATGTGCAAGGGGCCATGCCACAGATAGCAGAGTCTCCCAGTGCTAACAGTCTAAGATGAGGGGTTAATCTTCATAGGGCAGTTATGCGTGATTTCAAAAAAACGAGGTGAGCTTTCCTGTTTGCATAGTTCCAGTCTCAGGTCATTTACCCGCCTCCTTTCCCCCCATGCTGTGCACGCATCTGGTGCCCACTATGGAGTCTGATTTCAGGATGGATTCCTTTGCGGAGGCGTCTGGGATACTTGGCATGACCAGGTTTGTGCCTGCGCTGAAAACTGGTTTAGAGGGAGGTTAATGTGTAGCTGATAGTAGCTGAATAGAGAAGGAAGTCTCACAACCCCCGCTGGGTTCCAGACCCACAAGGAGATCGTTTTTTTTTATTTTGATCTTGTTTGTATCCTGCCTCCCAGACACAAGGAGATAGATTCTAGCTATTGTCCACATCCTGCCCTTCTGTTCTGCGTCTTTGCAGGTTTTTATGGTCACATTGATTTTTTTCCCCGAAGCCACTTTTCAGCTGCCCCAGTCATTTTCCTCTTGTTCCCTTACCCTAACAGCTTTGAGTTGGAACTGTCGAAATGGCAAACAATGAGAAGTAAGTAAATAGAAGGAGCCCTGCTGGCTGCTACTCAGAATGGCCAAAGCAGTCCTAACCCACCAGCTATTCTGCTGGAGAAAGATCCGGCAGCCTGCTATGTTCACGATTTACAGCCTTGGAAATCCTGTCCTAGAGGGTCACTAGGCTGTGAATCAGAAGGAAAGCATTGATTTTGGTGTGAGTTTAGTAAATAGAAACAGGTCTGTCCTGGAAAACAAACTGTCTGCCTCATCCTGAGACAGAAAATTTAATTTCAAGGGCTCAAAATTTAGATGTCAGAATTTTTAGGAAGAAATGCCCTCTTGAGGGAATATGTCAGTTTTAATGACTTTATGAAGAATTGCTGTCCCAGACACAACTGGCCACCACTTAGGCAAATTACTGCCCTTGTCGAACGTCATAGGGCTCTTGTACTGACCTGAGAGAGTGGACAAGCACAGGTACCCAGGGTAGTAGTCATGCCTTGTGGCCGGCTTAGCAGCCATCATTGTCTCTGAAAGTCCATCCCTCTTTTCCAAGTGCTTCCTTTCCCAGTTGGTTCTGTAGCAAGAGGTGAACTTGTAACTTGGTTCTGACATCAGCAGTCACACAAGGTAAAAATGAAAAAAAAAACACCTTTTCCTGCCACTTCTGGCTTCTCCCCCCCATCCTCGCTCCCACCCACAGTTTCTGCTTTACATTATAATTGGGACTTGTAGCAGCTAAAGGGCCTGAGGAAACTAACATTGGGGTGGAAAAGTCAGCATGCTGAGGGGGATCCTAAATGGCTTGCTCTTTCCAGATGGTGGGGTTGTTGCTGTTGCTGTGGAGTGCTAACTCATGGTGACCCTGTAGAGGGTTTCTAAGGAGAGGCTGCTGAGCTTGAACCACCAACCTTGCAGTTCAAACCGGTCTTGTAGTCGAGCACATTAACCCACAGGGCCTCCCTCGCAGGATTCCTTCCTCAAAATGGTCTTGAACTGCTAAACAAACTAGACCCACCTTCATGAGAGGCCTTCTGGGAAATCTCTTCATTGCTTAAATCGCAGTTAGGTTTTCTGTGGCACCCCAAGTCACACAGGGTTTATGTATAGTACATGCTCAGATACAAGCAGAGCTTAGAAGTGGACTATGTAACATGCCGTAACTCCTCTCCTTCTCTGGGCTTCAGGGGGGCTTTCCCTGGAGCTCCGTTTATATTACTGTTTTTAGTTACATTCTTTTCTGGAAGTAGTGTGTGGGAAGTCCATGCTGAATGGTCACTTTCAATGCTACATGGTAACATAAGTAGAAATGTCACATGGTCAGGGAAAACAGGTTTCTCAGAGGATAGTAGGAGGTGTGGTGCACAGAGGGGAAGGACAACGGAGCTGAGGCCCCGGAGAGAAGGTACAGGAACTGGAGACAGCAGGGAAACTTCAGAGAGTGTGCAGCCTCCAGTGGTGTAAAACCCAAAGGTTGGGACCACGAGGGGAAAAGATGCTGCTGAGGAGAAAGGCAGAGAAGATCCGTGAATGGAGAAAAGAGCAGATGTTTTGTTTCAGTGTTTCTCTCCCTGATTGGTGACCAGATGCCACTTCATGCAAACAGATTACTCACTAACAAACCCAGGGATATCTCAGGGCTGAAGATGCTCCCAAGAGAAAAAGGCATAACTGCATTCTGAGAGCATTGTTTACTTTGTTTGGGTTTCGGTTTTTGTGTGTTTGACAGTGTATTGTATTTCAGTTTGGGGATGTGCCTCTTATGTAACTTCCAGCAGAAGGATCTGTCCCTAACCCCTTGAAACTTACCAGTAGATCACGAGGTACATGTGAAGAGAACTGTGCAGTGGAGACCTGGTCCTGGCGAGGGTCTCAGGGACAGCAGGTACCATTTTACACCCTGAGAAGGAGGGACATATTTTGCTATGATAAGAAGGTGTATTGGTGGAGTCAGTGTACTTCTAGTGAGAAAGAGTTCAGTAAGCACAGCTTCCTGTTTAGAAGACTTCTGGAAACTTTCTTCAAGGAGACAGCCAATAGCAAGACCCTGATCTTTGAGAACTGGGAGACTCAGACAGCTGGCATTGGTGCCTGGTTGTTGTTGTTGTTGTTGTTGTTGTTGTTGTTGTTAAGTGCTGTCAAGTCAGTTCTGACCCATAGCGACCCTATATAGGGTTTCCGAGGAGCAGCTGGTGAGCTTGAACCGCCGACCTTGCAGTTCGTACGGCTTTGCAGTCTGGTGCCTGGTAAAGGGTGGATTTGTTCCATGCGGGGAGCAGCTCCTCTTGAAGAAGTGACTTGTAACTCTGGGTGGGCTCCCAGAATGTTATGTTCGTAGGGACTTTAGACATGGTCTAGAAAACATGGCCAAGGAACTGAAAACACATGGCATATTTGTGGCTGAGATATGATTTGGGCTAAGCAAGTTCAGAAAATCTACCTTTATACCATCTAGGGTCGCTATGGGTCGGAGTCGACTCAACAGCACTTTAACAACAATAACACCCTTGTTTTGGAGGAGCATGGTTACTGTATGATAAGCACTGGACTGCAAACCACAAGGTCGGCAGTTGAAGACCCGCATCTGCTCTGCAGGAAAAAGGTGAGGCTTTTTGCTTTCAAAAGATGTACAGCCTCAGAAACCCTATACAGGGTCACTATGAGTAGGAACTGACCCAATGGCACTGAACAACCACCACCTTGTTTTCTACAACACCAGTGCATTGGGACATAAACAATAAAGTATCCTGTCCATCAAAACAGTGTTCAACCCACTTTGGGTTAGAGCCTTCCTCTCCAGGCCTAGTTCACTTCAAAGGGACAACATGGGAGTGAAAAGAGCCCACAGATGATATTCACACAGCCCTAGGATCTTCAAGGATCAGCTTCTCCGGCCAGTCTTATGCAAGTCACTTCACTCCTTTGAGTCTCTGTCCTTGTCTATAAAACAAGGATAGCTCCAAGCATCTTACTGAGGTCTGGGATTCACTAGATGGTCAGTCAATGAGCATGAATCCCAAGATGGGACTTAATGGTGTAATGAATTATTTAATGTGTTTTCTAGCCATAGTGTGTAACTCTTACCAAACCATGTTTCTGCCCTGCTGGGTCTTGGTAAGAGAAGGTGGGAGAAGATGCTGATAGGATGACATGATTCAGCTGTGGATGTGTTAGAGTTAACTGTAATTATAAAAACTTGACTCACTAGGATCATCTAAAATGAACCATCTCAGAATAAGGTGGGGTGGAATCTCACTACCATTAAAGAAAAAGAATTAGGAGGGGAGCGTGCCCTTTGGACCCCAATATCTGTGTGCATTGAACCTCCTTGACCCAGGGAGAAAAAGCTTTGACACCAGAACACGAGACAGAGCAGTGGGCTTCCAGTCCATGGAGCAGGTAAAGCTGAGTGGCTTTGGGCAGGAAGCTCACTTGTAGAATGGGGTGCCTACGGACACTTAAAGGAGGGAATTAGTTTTGCCTTCAGGTGTGTCCTGAGGGCTTTTATCAGCAGCTGACTGCAGCAACTGTGCACTGAGGATTTCTGATCCTGTATTACAACCTGTTAACTTCCCAAATAAACTTGTAACTGTGAATACGGTCTCTGAATCCTGTGTGGCCATTACAGTGAATTATTGAACCCAGCTGAATAGAGAGGGCTTTGGGAGGAATTGTTGGTGCCTTATATATTTTTGCAGATGGTGTTTATTAGGGATATTTCACTGGCTGGGGTTTATTTCTCCATACTTCAGTATTCTCTACAACGTTTCTTCCCCTGGACCATAAGTGAAACAATAAGAGGACTTAAGACTGAAAACAGCACATAAATTGTTAAAAAGAAAGCTGTTTATTGAGTGGTTCAGCAATCCAGGGCTGGCTCCCATCAGCTTCAGACCAGGTTTCCTCCCGTCCCCTCCCATCCTCTTGGCCCTCCTCCACAGTGAAACCTTGGCCATCAGCCAAGAGCTTCACAGTGTGCCTTGTTGTTAGTTCTCAGCTATGGTTTTCTGAACCCAGTCCAGGATGGAGGGCACCTTCACGTACACCCCATACTCGGCCACAGTACAGCTCTTATCGAAGCTTAGGATCCCGGCTGCGTACCAGGTATCATCATCCTGGTCGTGGACAGCAAAGGCGCTGCCCGCATCGCCATAGCAAGTGTCTTCCTGGTACTTGGACATGCCCGCACAAAAGGTATGTTCGTTCAGTATGGGCTGCACCCCAACAGGGCTCTTTTGTTCCTTCTTTTCCGCTTCTGTGCTGCCTTCGTACTGCTGTACACACTTGTCCTGGGCAGCCACGGGCAGCATGACGTACTTGAGGTGCTCAGTAAAATTAAAGTTGGAATTCCGCCCCCAGCCAGACACATAGCCCACACGCCCCTCTTCCGCATAGTCCTTGGAAGGTAGGCAAATGGGCATTACTCTCTCTCCTACTGGCACCTTATGTTTGAGTTTGATGAGCCCAATGTCTACCTTGGAGTAGTCAGGGTGGAGAACCACTTTCTCAATCTCCACGCGCTGATTTTTCCCCACGTAGAGTTTTAAAGTCGGTGCGATGTCCTTGGCTTTTGCATCAGCGGTATGGTTCAGGAAGAGGTTTTTAGCTGTGGTCAGCAGCCATTTTTCACTGATCAGTGTGGCCCCCGTGATGAGGTTGTGACGAGACACCATCTTCGCCTGCCAGGGGAAGCTGCCTTTGGCATCCAGTGACCCACCGATGATCCGTTGCACCTGAGCCACTGGGTTCTTAGGCTTTCCACACACTGTCAAGGAGAGAGAGACAATCAC